ACAAGTGAGTGGTGTTTGTGTGTTTTAATTGACCAATTGAAATTATTTTATTAACACCTAGCTTTTGCTTTTTTTGTCTAAAAAATTTATTTTGATATATTTTTAATATTATTGGTTGGATTCATGACCCAAATTATTCGAATTTATTTTAGATTGTATTTAAATTTTCATAAAACTTTTTTTTAACGCCTATAATCTTATGAATCTAATTTTTTTTCTTATTTGGACTAACTATAAAGATAGAAATTTTAAGGCCTTCTACAAACATGGAGCCTAAAGCTCAAGCTTTGTCGGTCGTGTGGTAGGGCAGGTCCTGCCCAAAATACGAATTTTTAGTCTTTTACGAGTCAAAATTAGAAGTAATGATGAAAATTTTGTTTCATTTCTACCAAAAGTTTTTGAGGTGTTTCGGGACATATCTACAACTGATTTTACTTTCCCTCTAAATCTATCCTTGAAAAAAGATAGTCCATTATAGATGATAATGAGCTCTATCAGGCCAGCCTGATGAAGGTGTGAGAAAGTACCTCTCTGTCTCCTTTGCTTTGAGCAATTATATAATTGCACTTGACATTGCTCATTTATTCATCCATAAGGGTAAATTACACTTCATCCCATTTTTCTGAGTTTTTCAAATCATCCTTGTCAATTACTTAAATTGGTTTGGTTTCATTTGTTTTTTTTTTGGTAATGGGAGAAATCCCTGGTGTGTCCTCGGTAAGTAGATGTGCACTTATATGGCTCAAGTTTGTAAGTTCAGTTTGTCAAAACAACTGAGATCCGTCCTATCAACTAACCATGCATTTTTTCGTCTAAGAAACTTAAACTCTTGACCGTAAGACAAAGTTGTTGCAAGTTAGAGAATGTCATTTGAGCAGAAGTTTAGTTTCATGTTGCACAAAAACCAAACGTATGTTGTGTTTGGATAAAAGACTTCCACTTATTATTAGATTTTTAAGATAAAGTCACACAATTCAAAAGATGAAATGACAAAACTTCCTATCCAATTTATGAAGGGAGGTATGCAATCGGTGGTCATTTAATTGAAGTGCAATATAAGACGCATAATTGTAGAGGGGACAATGTGAAATAATATACATAATTGAAGGGGTCAATGTATAATTCGCCCCGAGCCATATTGCTCAAAAGAGAGATAATTTGCAAGAGAGGCAAGGAGAATAGAACAATAGATAAGGTAGTGAGCATGTGAATATTGTCTGCCCTTTTCTGGGCTGGCTTTGTCATTTGCTTAACGTTTACATACCATTGGCATATTGGAAGAAACTGCTATGACAAGGAAGAAACTAAATGAACCAAACAAGTAATGTGGGGAAAGAACTTACAATCATTATGAACCACAATATCATTTGAAATCTTTCCACCTTTCCCCACCCAAAAAAGGGAGAATTTCATTTGTACTCCAAAAATTTTAAAATTTATATTTTATACTCTTATTAAATTCTCATATTACACTTTAATATATTAAAAATATTATAATATGATCATTCTGTTAGCTTCTGTTGTTTATTCTATTAATGTTGATGAGGTGATTTTTTACGAAATAACAAAAATTAATAGAAGAGCCACACTACAACACGTTTAATATATTGTGGGTACAATTTAAAAAATTTAATATTCGCAAGTGAAAAGTAAAAATTCTTAAATCTTTTAGGTGGAGAGAATTTCACTTTATACCCCATAAGATTTTAAAAATTTTATTTTATACCTTCTAAATTAAATTTCACATATTATATTCTTAATTAATTTATGTTGTTTATTCTATTAATGTTAACAAGGTGATTTTTGATGGAATGAACAACAAAAGCTAACGAAAGAGTCACACGACTCACACTATAATATATTTAATATATTGAGGGTATAATTTGAGAAGTTTTATCTTTGATAATAAAAAATAAAAATTCTTAAATTTTTTAGGGTGGAAAGTATGATTGCCAAAAAAAAAACTGAACGAATTATCCTTCTCCTGCCACGTGATCTTAACGTGAAAACCAACCCTGCCTGGCGACTTCCAGTTCCCCCACTTGTCTCTCCCTCTCTCTCTCTCTCTCTCTCTATCTCTGCCCCCGCTACACGCTGATTGTGTGTGGTATCTCCACGAGGAGGAGGAGGAGGAGGAGGAAGAGTTTGATACAAATCGTTGAGCTCTGGGAACTCTCGAAGCNTCTCTCTATCTCTGCCCCCGCTACACGCTGATTGTGTGTGGTATCTCCACGAGGAGGAGGAGGAAGAGTTTGATACAAATCGTTGAGCTCTGGGAACTCTCGAAGCCTACATCACTCTATCGACGCCATTTTTGGGACCACTTGCCGAGATCGAGATGGTGAAGAAGAAAGTCCCTGATTGGCTCAACAGCTCCCTCTGGTCCTCCTCCTCTCCTCCTGAACATCCACAACCACTGACACCAACACCGCCTTCCAACGACGCCTCCGATGAGGACAAGAACTATCGCATCCACCGCTCTGCTATCACCTCCTCCACCGCCAAATCCAAATCCAAATCCATCGCAAGTTCTACTGTTGCGGAATCACCGGTTGAACCGCCTGTGCCGGTGCCGCCACCGGCTGTTGTGAGAGCTTCGCAGTCTAATTCTGTTGGGGAAATCAGGGATCCGTTGAGTAGTGGGAACAGTAATAGTAATGACCATGAGGATTATGGGAGTTCTACTGCTATCAAGAGTTCTTCTTCTTTGGCTGAGGATATTTCGCGCCAGGCTCACTTCTTACAAGAGGTTTGGTCATCTCTTTTTATGTATCTATTTGTGTATGCATTTGTTAGGGTTTTTGTTTTGTTTTTTGATGAAGTAATTATTGGTTTTGGTGAATTTAGCTTTCGAAGAAAGTAATAAATATGGGTGAATTGAGGAGACTGGCGTCACAAGGAATACCCGATGGTGATGGAATTCGTTCTACGGTTTGGAAGGTACAGTTGGAGAGAGACAAAGGACCCCCCCGGGGGGGAGGGGGGGGGGCTGGATTTTCTATTTAGAATAAAAATTGGATTTCATGAATCTTGGAGTCTAAAATTTTACTGTACTGGATAATTGCAGTTATTATTGGGGTATTTGCCAAGGGATCGAGCGGTCTGGGCATTAGAACTTGGTAAGAAGAGGTCTCAGTACAAGCATTTTAAAGAGGACCTACTGATGAATCCTGTAAGTTGTAGATCTTTGAGTATGCATGCCCTCAATTTATGAAACTGACTTAAGTAGAATGAGAATGAAACAGCAGTGCCATTTCATCGCTGAACTTGGTCATGTATTACTGTTGACTATTTTAGGAAATGGTGAATGTTTAAAGCTCTGGAAGGTTTACCAGGTCTCCATTTATAAGCGTTGATATCGAAATACTTGAATAGTTTTTTGCTAATTCTGATGCTGTGTATCCTTTCAGCTTTGTAACTCAAGACAATGTAGCCTTAGCTTCTTGTTATCTAGTACACATTTGGTGAATTGTGATATAACTTTTTACTAATTCTAAATGTCACACAAAACACGAATCCCTTGTTTGTTTTAGGGATGAGACAGGAAATGAAGAGAAAATGTTTAATTTCCTTCATTTTCATTCCCCTTGTGTGGCTTCAATCCAAGGGGAGAAATGAAATTGAAGGAATGAATTTTTTCCCCCTTGGACCCATCAATTTCTTTAACCTCCACTATTAACTATCGTTATCTTTTTTTTGGACCTTAAAAAATGGGTTTTCTCTTGGGTGTTCCCTCACTTTTCCTTCCATAGCAAACAAGGAAAAATAATTGGATTGTCTCTTCATTTTTTCACTATTTTAATTTCCCTTCCCCCCAGTCCAAATAGAGCATTAACCAAGTCTCTTTCCTGGATATCATAACCACTAGAGTTGTTTTCATATGGATTTTAATTGGGAAGTTGAGGTTAAAATAATCAAATAGCAAAAATTGAATTTATGGAATCAACTATGATTATCGTGCTTGTGTTTATTGGATGCATTTACATTTTTTCAAATATTTTGGATTTCTGAATGTTTCTGTGCCTAGTCAGTCAGAAATCGCACGCAGATTGGAAAAGTCCACAAGTCTTGAAAATGATGGATCTAATGGTGAAAACAAGGGCTTACTCTCACGATCAGAAATACCTCAAGGAGAGCATCCTTTGAGCCTTGGGACAACCAGCATCTGGAATCAATTCTTTCAGGTATTATTTTAACTGCTAGTTGCTTCAAAGTAGTTTTGAATATTATAATTGAACTCGGATGTTGTCTAATTTATCACATATTACTGTATGTTTCGAAACACCTTTATCAGTGCAATAGTCCTCTTACAATATCTGGTGCTCAAAAGGCAGCATAACTGATTCCATTAAGCAACCCCTGGGGGTTGAGGGAGTGTTGGTGTGGAAGTAAGGGGAATTGAACCCCTAACCAGTTGGCCTACGAGGCAGTTGTCTTATAAGTATACTCTCTGGCCTCATAGACAGTGATAAGGGAAGAGAATGGGTGATGGTTCTGATAACTTCTTACTATCTTAGTCACTGGTTAATTTTATTTTTTTTTTCTTTTGGGAGAATGTTTTTCACTTGTGAGAAGACCTCTGGCCAGGACTGATCATTTGTACCTGATACGTTTTTCTGCATATACCAGCATCCATCTTCACAATGATTGGGGCCACCTTTCNTCTTTTGGGAGAATGTTTTTCACTTGTGAGAAGACCTCTGGCCAGGACTGATCATTTGTACCTCATACGTTTTTCTGCATATACCAGCATCCATCTTCACAATGATTGGGGCCACCTTTCAATTGATGCTTTATCTGTGCCCACATTTTTTGGGTGCATTATGTCAATAATCTAGTGTGTCTTGGCCAGCCCATAGTGTATCGTGAAACATGACTATGAGCTGAAAACTATGGTGTAATTGGGTGTATATATGCAAAATTTGATATCATTTATTAATTAATTGATGCCAACTCTACCATTTGCAGGACACAGAGATCATGGAGCAAATTGATCGAGATGTGAAGCGCACACATCCAGACATGCACTTCTTTTCTGGGGACTCTCCACTTGCAAACTCCAATCAGGTNTGGTGTATCGTGAAACATGACTATGAGCTGAAAACTATGGTGTAATTGGGTGTATATATGCAAAATTTGATATTATTTATTAATTAATTGATGCCAACTCTACCATTTGCAGGACACAGAGATCATGGAGCAAATTGATCGAGATGTGAAGCGCACACATCCAGACATGCACTTCTTTTCTGGGGACTCTCCACTTGCAAACTCCAATCAGGTGAGCTGTATCTAATGGTATGCAGTTTGACATAAGCATGAGAAACTTGGGCTGAATTAAATATATCTGTTTTGTCAGGANATTTGCAAACTCCAATCAGGTGAGCTCTATCTAATGGTATGCGGTTTGACATAAGCATGAGAAACTTGGGCTGAATTAAATATATCTGTTTTGTCAGGAGGCTCTGAAGAACATATTGATTATATTTGCAAAATTGAATCCGGGTATAAGATATGTTCAAGGGATGAATGAAATACTGGCGCCCTTATTTTATGTATTCAGAAATGATTCGAATGAGGAAAATGCGGTAAGTAAATTGGTCTTCTTATTTTTTTTTTGTTTAAATTTTCATATTTTGATATGAACTGTTGCATTAATTTATTTTCATGTCTAAAGTTGTTCCAATAGTGGTAGTAAAATAAAAAGACATAATCCCTTGTCAAAAGTGATGTCAAAAGCATTTGGGTGCAGGAGTCACATTTAAGTGATTTCAGACCCTTCATGGAACACACCTGCCATCAGGAGTGTGCTTAACTGGTGTCTTCAAGAATGGCAAATAAATGCAATTTTTTTCCACCATATTTTCCATGCGCATTCTTCATTTGCTAGCTTGTTGTGTGGATAAGTTTGTGGAGTACTGCTGTCAGACATACAACACCTTAATGAGCCCATGTTAGTATAGAAGATTAAGTGGATCCGGTAAAAAAAGGCCAGTGCTCAGTGCAATCTCATTTATATAGGGTGGTAGGACGTGTAAATTAGATGTAAACTTAACAATTGATATTTTTGCACCAAGTGACTACTCTCAAATTTGAACCTGCATTCTCATGCTTAAAAATAAAGAAAGGTTCTATTTTCCTTTTTTTCCTGCTAGGAAAGTGGGAGTTTGGCATGTACTGCCTGAGCTTTTTACCATTGAACTAACTAATGGCCCTTTATTCATGAGTTAGAATGTAGCTGATATTCAATAAAATATGTTCCATGGAAAAAAGGCATACTTTTGCACCTCATGAAATTCTAAAAAGTAAAAATGTGCTGAACAATGAAACACTGAAATAAGAGATTGTGTGATTATAGTGATGGTGATTGTGGTAGAAGTTTGCATTGATTACTATTTTTTGTGAGCTCAGCAAATATATGCATCAACTTCCATTTGTTTCCTTTTTTTTTCTTCTTTTTATCATTTTGTGTCTTCAAGTTATGCAGGCCTTTGCGGAAGCAGACACATTCTTTTGTTTTGTTGAGTTATTGAGTGGATTCCGTGATAATTTCTGTCAGCAACTTGACAATAGTGTTGTGGGAATTCGTTCCACAATTACAAGGCTGTCACAGCTTCTAAAGGAGCATGATGAAGAGCTTTGGCGTCATCTCGAGGTCACAACCAAAGTAAGGCATCAAGTCATTTACATTTGTTGTGTGTCATTTTTTACTGGAGTGTATTGTATAATTTTCATTCGTCATCAGTCTCCTTGGTATTAGGTTGCACATATATTTGGTGTGAGTCTTCTCCAATGATACCTTGTATGTTACCATTTATATTGATTAAAGGATGTGCAGTCATCTTGTGTGCAAGATGTGGTATTTTTTAACAATTAAATGACAGGAAAAGGAAAAAGGTCTGATTAAACATTAGTTCCTTGCATGAGATCTCATTTTCAAACTCCTCATTTTTCTTGTTGAGATTTCCTAAAGTGCATGAGTACATTTCTCTAATGTGAACAAAAAGAGAGCATTCATTGGATGATCAGCCTTACAAGAACCATTGCGCAGCACATAAAGGTAACAAAGGACCACAGTTTTGTTTCAATGTATAGATTTGGTTAGCTCAGAAATAGACTTTTTGGGAAATGTCCGGAAACAAAATGAAGAAAGAGAAAAGATTCAGAATTTTTGTTCTGAAGCACGAATTTGGAGTTTTCATTATTGATTCGTTATGCTTTCCAGTGAAATCAAAACATTTAGATCATTTTGGTGGAGATGAAACAAAATTTTGATCTTTGAAGGTGATAAGAGTCCTGGTTTGGCCAGAAAAAATGGTCCTAGACGAATCCACTACTATATTTAGCTCTAATTTTTAACCATTTTCATTACGGGCTTGGTAAGGAGAAAATGAGGGTACAACATGGAACATGAAAAGAGAGAGAAAGGGTAGAATAGATTGGGTTTTTTTTTCCTCATTTGGTTGATGAGAGAAAACTCCGGAAGATGGGAAAAAATGGCAGAGAAAGAGAGTAGGACTCACAATGTTCTCTTGCTTGGTGATTATAAAGAGAGGGTGGCAAGGATAAAAGGAAAATAACAGTAGAGAGAGGAAAAACCATTCTGTTGTTTTCTGTGCATCATTTCTCTTTTTTCCTACCGGGCACACGAAGTAATTTGGATTTCCTTGTCTCAGTGTGGGATGACAGGATCATTTTAGGTTTCTCAGGTGGGCCCTGGTCAAACCTGTGATGTAATCTACCTCGAGTTAACTGCTACCTATTTTTCAGTGTATTTCGCATCTAATAAAAAAAATCATTGAAATTTAAATTTTTTATGCCTATTTTTGGTGTATTTGATTCCTAATAGATCAATTGCTAGTGTTAGTGCATCAGTATATGGCTCCTTTCTATATTTATTTTTAAAGGCTTCCAACCCAAAATCAATTAGCAATAGGTGGGGCCGTGGGGGGCTCCCCAATCAAATAAACCAACCTCGGGTGGCTATAATCTTACGATATGGATTAAAATCTCTCTACACATCCCTCATGTGAGACAAGCATGTGAGTTAACAAATCAAATCAAAATAGACAAGACGAATTGGAAAATTCAAATGTGTGAAGACTTCTCCCACTAAGCAATTAAGTCCTAGCTCTGATACTATATTGGGAGGTATCTAACCCTAAACCAATTAGCAATGAATGGAAAGACCATTCAACCATGTTAATCAAACTTGGGTTGCCCGAATGTTTCTATGTGAGATACAAACTCTCTTGATATCTATATTTAAATTCTAAGCTAATAGGACTTACATATCTTGAATGAGATAGTTTTAGTTTCTCAGTCTAGCATTGTTGGATGTTGACTTATGATTGATGTCAAACATAATGAACTGCTAGTGGTTTAAATTTTACTGGTACTTTGCCTGACTAATATGGATGTGAAAATGACAGGTCAATCCCCAGTTTTATGCATTTAGATGGATAACCCTCCTCTTGACCCAAGAATTCAATTTTGCGGACAGTGTTCTCATTTGGGATACACTCCTAAGCGACCCTGAAGGTCCTCAAGTAAGTTGATATCTCCCTCTGTGTGTGTGTGTTTGTGCACGCACGCCCGAGACGAATCCGCTACTATATTTCCTATTGTGATTACAAGAGTATAGCCGTTCTGTTTATGAGAAGAGAAAGGCTCCCAGCTTGTCCTGTAGGTGATAAGAGTAGGAGGGGAATGCAGTAAAGACTAGATTTGTGATAGTATTACCCAGCTATTGGAGCTGCTTTTGAGAATAGGGATTTAAACATTTAACGAGCAAGTTTCATATCAATGGTTGAACCAAGGATCAAAATTTCATTACAGTGCATTTTTTTGGTCACCCTAGAAATAGAAACGCTTTGGAAACAGAATAAAAATAGATAAAAAATTGAAGAATTTGTTTCAAAAAGGTTCCGGAACGTTGGTTGATATATGCTGAAAAATCTCGAAATATCTCGAAATATTCATTTCAGTCTTTTTGAAAAGATTCTAGAAACACGTTGAAGTATTAGAATTTTGATCCATGATTGATTCATTTCAGTCTTCTTGAAAACAAAAATGTTTTGATTGCTTCGAAATGAAATTTGGATCCATGGGCTGAAGAATGGCATAAAACTGAAATTGATATAGACAATAAAATTACAGAAATATGTCTGTAACTGCTGTTGTAAAGAGGTAATTGACCATGCGCGATCCATAATGAAGAGAGACATCATGAGACATAAGTTGAGTGCGCACATTATCATGTTCTTGTAGAATGACTAATGGAGGCTGAAATCGGTTATATATTCCGGACATGTACATGGTGTTCATTTCACTATTTTTGGCTTTTAATTTCTGCATTGGTTGGTACACATAGTAAATGCAATCTTTTATACGCTTCTTCTCTTTGGCATCCTCTATCCTATTGGCTTATGTTGCATCCTATTTATGGAGGAATAGAAATAGTAGTGTGCCCTTTTGTTTTTTTT